TGATATTGTACTATAATTTTGTAAGATGTTATCATTGGGGGAAACTGCACAAAGGGTACATGGAATTTTATATTCCTCCTTACAGCTGCATGTGCGTATACAATTGTCCCAAAATAAAAAAAAATTCAATAAAAAAAGTCATGGGACTGTGTGAGATAACCAAAAGATACAGTAGAGCTAGAGAGAAGACAAGATCCACAGACTGAGCTCTGGGGAAGCTGATAATAAAAGATTAGGAAAATGAGGAATTGTCAGAGGAAACTGAAGAGTGGCTAATGACAAGGGAGGAAAACCAAGGGAGTTCAGGTGCCCTTGGAGCCTTGGTTCCCTATTTGTAAAGATGAGTGCTGACTTGTTCTAGAGTTCTGAGATTCTATTATTCAGTATTGGTTATACCTACATGTCCTAATTTGTTCTTTTGAGAAGATGAATTCAGAATGCCACATATCCTTATCTCCAGTAGCAAAATCAAGGATGCTTTTTGACCTTGAGAAAATTAAATCATTCACATTGTTCCTCAGTACATTTAACATTCTACATATACTCTTATGAAAGTAATTCTCACATTTCTATAGAAGAAGGTAACTAGGTTAGTATTTTCCAAATTCTGTTTTGTGAACTAATGTCAGTAATTTATAAATTGTCTGAGGGAAAAAGTTTCCATGGTCAAATAAACTTAGGAAATGCAAATTAAAGTTAAATAGTTTCTTTAATGTGGGAATTTTCGGGTCTGTGAATATTGAAGAGAGAAGAGAATATTTATTTGACCTCGGAGGGGTCATGCTCTAGACGATGATTTGGAATTATTTGTATAGAAGTGACGGTTGGAGTTGTTTCTAAGGATGAGGTATACAAGACTGAACAGGTCTGAATGATAAATATTTCCATATGAATGTTCTGCAGGCACCTCAAATTCAGTATGTCCAAAACTGAATTCATTTTTTTCTGCAAAATATGCTTTTCTACCCTTGAATTTTCTATCTTGGTTAAAGGAATTACCATTTCTCTTGCGACTCAAGGAAGACATTTGGGGGCACATATTTGCTCTTCTCATTTATGTTTATCCAGTTGGTACTTATATTCTGTTGGTTTTACCATTTATCATCTGTCTAAACTTCGTCTTCTCCATGATATTGCTTCTGCTTTACTTAAGACAGTCATTAACTGTCTCTTACATGTACACCCAGACTAGAGCCTACCCTCTTTTTAAAAAATATATCTTTTATTGATTTCAGAGAGAGGAAGGGAGAGGAAGAGAGAGATAGAAACATCAATGATGAGAGAGTCATTGATCGGCTGCCTCCTGCATTCCCCCTACTGCGGACCGAGCCCTCAACCCAGGCATGTATCCTGCCTGGGAATCGAACCTCTATCTCCTGGATCGTAGGTCAGTGCTCAACTGCTGAGCAATGCCAGCTGGGCCTACCCTCTTTTAATGCTGTCCTTTTTCTTTCTGTTGCACAAATCTGGCCATACTTTCCTGTTAACCTCAGAATAAAGTTCTGAGCATAAACACTTTAGCCTGGCAAGTAGGACTTTTTCTGAAGTGGCCCCTGCTATCTCTGCATCTTCAAGTTTTTCTACCTTATTCCCTACATACCAGTCATATGAGATCACTCAGGGTCTCATATCATTGCCATCTTGTTTTATATTTCTTTGCCTTTACTCTGCCTTGAATCCCCTTCCCCTGTTTTGCTCTTGTGTTTTTTTTAATCTTCACTCGAGGACATATTCATTGATTGTTAGAGGGGGTTAAGGGGGGCTGGAAAGAGAAAGAAACAGAAACATTGATGGGCTGCCTCGTCCCGTATTGCACCCTGACTGGAATCAAACCCGCATTCTAGGTTTGTGCCCTGACTGGGAATTGAAGCCATGACCTTTCAGTGTACAGGACAACACTCAACCAACCTAGCTACACCGGCCAGGGCTTTGCTCTTGCTGCAAACCAAGTTCACTGTAGTGTCTTCACTGCTTCCTCACCTCTTTCACCTTCATAGTAGTGTAGTCCTTTCTTAATACAGCCACTGAGTCATAGAGATGTCTTTTTTCTAGCACTTTACAATTCTGTAAACATTTGCTTCAATATGTTTTCTTGACAGTGAACTTCTTGAAAGGAAGGACTGTGTCTTAATTTTGGACTGGAACTCTTAGCACAATACCTGATATATGTGCAACCCGGTAAATGTTTAGCTCAGCTACCCTTTCCATACATAATACCTATTAACACCTCTCAGAACAAATGATCAGAAATGGTGTACTAGATGTTTTACTATTATTTATTAGTATGATGGTCAGTATCTTAAATTTAATCCTGAATGTCTAAGTGGAGGGTATTGAGAACTGGTTGACTACTACTGGCTACTTGTACAACCTCTTTCCAGCTTTTTTATAGTATGCTTACAAGTATTCTTAAATTGAGAATTAAATTTTGAAAATTAGCATTGAAATTTTTGGCTTTTAAATGTGATTGGAAAGAAAGTGTGGCCTGGCTGAAATGAATCTGAACATTTCCCCCCTTATAGCTCCTTTCCCCATACCATGGTATGTTTAGAGTGTGAATGAAACTTCAAAATAACACACTAATGTAATTGACCCAAAATACTCATTTTACATGTAGCCTTGAATTGGTCATCTGACCTGCAGAATAATGCAAGTAGGAACATTTATTTCATTTTCAGCTTCAGAGGGAAAGGATTGCCCTTGAGAAATAGGTCAGAAAGATTTATTTTAGCAGGTTTATATACGGTAGAAAAATTACTTATTTGCATTCTTGATCTCTAATGATTTGTTGTTGAAATTGATCACCTGTCCTGTTTTCTTTATGTTGAAGTTTTAAGTAGTGTTTGTTTTAAATGCTATGCTATGTTTTTCTACAAAATATTATGGCAACATTCACAGGTAAAAAGTGTAACCATGTAATGGTAGGTCCTTAGTTCAGAACTTTGAGCTTAGCAAATTTCACTGTCTTCTACCAGGCAACTGAATATCTCAAATGATAACTATTCCAGCAAGTATCTTTAATGAATAAGAATTACAGGTAAAAACTTTTTTCTTTTCAAAAAATGTTAATGATATATTCATAGTGTATTGTAATTTGTTAATCTTAAGTATGCTTTTATAGTTATAGAAATGTAGTACTGTACACATTTTAGTGATGAATGTGATAACTCAGTGAAATTTTGTATAGTATACTTTTCTAATGTGGTTTTTTTTTTTTTAGATTTTCCTAAATGTTTTACTGGTTATTATAATTCTGTTCCTTAAACTGTGTACCAGTATGGTTAAAACACGAACAAAATTGGCATCCCAATTTTGATAAGCCTCTTAATACTAGTTATTTCAACAATTTATTTTGTTCTCATTTATTAGTTTCTTAGCCAGTAAAATGAAGAATAATAAAAAAATAAGTCTTGTTACCAGCCTCCCTTACAGAGATATTAGAAGAACTCAATGTCTCCAGTTGAAATCAGTAATAGTAACACATGCTTAATAGCTTTCATTTTAATTGCTGCATAAAATCAATTTATTAGAATAGCCATCTGTCACAATGGTTAGCATGATAATATTTCTTAAGAATACAAGGTCTTTGATAACATTTTCAACAGTAGGCTGAAAAAGAAAAGGCTTTTATAAAATACTTTTAAGTTGCTTTGTGACCAATTTGTTCCAGTTTTTCAAACCGAGTTTAAGATTATTAAATGCTTAGAAATAAAAATCAATTGTAATTTATAAATTTATTTCAAAACTTCATTAACCTAATCCCTTCTTTTTGTTTCATCAGACTAATTTTTGTTTTTTTTTACTACTTTATACATGTTATTCTTAGAACTATTATTTTCCCATATAAAATCATTAAAGCAGTGAAGTTGTACTGTACTCTAGATGTTATTTTATCTTTATGCATATTATTGTTCACAATTATTGTTGAGAGAATTTATAAATCTTTAACCTGAAAACAATTGACATTTGTGCATTTTGTTCATTTTCTGTACAGACTTTGTTTACATTTGTTTAGTAATTTAGTTCTAATTATTTTAATGTATTACCATTATAGTGCTTATGCAAAAAAGGATATGCTCTATTTTAAGTTATTTGCGATTTCGCGTAATAACTAAAACACAGATAAGTAATTGTACACAGTTAAATTTTTAATTAATATCTAGTAAGGCATTAGCATTTTATAGTCCTAATTTTTAAAATTTACCCTCAGAGAATAGATAAAGAAGGGAGGTGTTTCCCACTTCCATATTTCAAATACTATGAGAGTAGCTTTTAGCGTGGTTGACACTCTATCCTACTAGATGTCTTCATTTGTATTCGTGAAATTTAAGTTAGTATAGTTGTTGCTAATGTTAAATATATTAATACTTAAGAATAGCTACTAAACCTTCATAAAGTTATGAAATACTCAACTCTGTATTAATGACATTTCAGATCAGGTAGGCCCCCTACTTATGCAAATTTTAATATATAATATCAGCAAATAATATTTACTCATCATAGTTTCTGAAATAAAAATAGTTTTGAAAAGTTAGCTTTTATATTGAACTGATTATTTTAACAGGTTCTATAGGTGGCATATGCCTTAGTTAATGTAATAAGTTACAATTAGTATAGTTTTAGAAATCAAGAAGTTTAAAAAAGTTATAGTTAATATTTGAGCCATGCTTATCAAGGTTTTTAAGAGAATATATCCTACAAAATTCTAAATTTCTGTGATTTTATCACCTCTAAAGTAAGTTAATTGTAATAGATACTAAAATGGACTAATCATAATGAATTTCACCATAGATAAAATATATTTTCTCACTTTTTAAGTCCTTTAATAGTCAATACTAATGCATATCATATATATTAACCATACAGCCTACTTTTATTTTTTAAAGAGTAAATCTTTTTTTGAAATTGTTTTAGTTATGTTACGTTGTTTATTTAAATTGTATTGCTTTATATGTTTCCATTGTAATTATAAAAAATTCAATACTTATTTTGTTTTCAAGATTAAAAAATGAAGCTCCCACTAAGGAACAAAAACCTGTGTCTGAGGTAAATTTTATCATATTTTATACCTTAAAAGTTTATACATTGGATAGTATTATTGGTGTGTATTATTTGAAAAAACATTTTAATTCAATGTGCATACTTCGGTAACAATTATTGGCATGTTATCAGGAAAAAAATTGAGATTTTAAAAAATTTTCATTAGATATAATAATATCTAATCCTAAGTAAAATTGTAAGGTGATTTATTTTGACAAAGACATTATATATTTCACTTGCCTGTTTAGTTCAATTAGTGTGCAATGAAAGTAAGTTTATGATTTAAAAATCCTGAAATCAGTAAATCCTCAAATATTTGGTACACTGGAAAATTAATCTTTCCAGATGATATAATTTTGGGGGGAATTTAGACTCTCAAATATTTAATTTTTTAAATGGAAATATTTTGGATATATAGTAACTATGCTTTAGCTACCTTTAGGAGGTACTGTGAATATAACATTCAGGGTTATCATATTAAATGTTACTTACTGGGCAGTCTAGTCTAATAAATGAGAAATTTCTAATTTCTAAAGTTAGAAATAATTTTGCTCAAGTATTTGCTTTCTTGATGTTACTTTTTAAAAATATTACTTAATATTATTTGTGGGGTTTTTTCCTGAATATAAGGAAGTGAGGCAGGTTTAACATTTGTCTTCTACAGTGAATAAGTGAAACCCAGGCAGAAGTAGCAGCCTCCTTCCAAGTGGCTTTTTATTATACCACAGAAAGTTTTCTTTTGTATGAAAGGTTTTTAACTACAAATAAATGTCGTTAATAGATAATAGGATATTTTGGTTATCTGTTTATTCTTGAGTAGTTTTGGTAGTTTGTGGTTTTTAAGGAATTGGAACATTTAATCGGAGATGTTGAATTTATGTGTAGAGAATTGTTTATTATTTTAAATGTCTGTGGATTCTGCAGTGATTAATCCTCTCTTTCATTCCTGATATTGGTAGTTTTTGTGTTCTTTTTTTTCTCTTGTTGTCATGTATTTTAAATTACTTATAAGGACAGAATACAGTGTTACTGTTTTTGCTTTAGTCATTTATTTTGTAGAGCAATTAAAAACTTTTAAAAATAATATTACATTTACCTTCATGTCTACTATTTCCAGTAGTCTTCATTTCTTTATGTAGCTCTTCTTTTCTGGCCAGTGTCATATTCTGTTGGCCTAAAGAACTTCCTTTGCTATATTTCTTTACACATCTACTGATAATTAATTCTTGCATGCTATTTTTATGAAAAAAATTTTCCACTTTTTAAGGATATTTTTTGTGAGTATAAAGCGTTGATAGTTTTGTTTCTTTTTTTTTGAGCAATTGAAAGAAGGCATTTTATTGTCTCTTGGCTTGCATATTTTCTGATGAGATGTCTTACTGTAATTTTTATCTTTGTTTCTATATCTGTATGTAATACGTCATTTTTCTTTTGTTGCCCTCAAAATTTTATCTTCGTTTTGTCTTTAGTCTTCATTAGTTTAAACACGATATGACTTAAGTTTGGTTTGTTCATTTGTTTATTTATATGTTTATCTGTTTTTGTATTTATTTTTTGCATTTGTCCTGATTGGTGTTCTCTGAGCTGTTTTGTATATTCAATTTCTGGGGTTCCAGTTTCACTTGTGTTATATCATTGGATGTTAGTCCCTGTTCTTAGATGCCCGTTCTGGTTTCTACACCCCATTCCCCCTCATCCCCCCAACACACACACACACACACACACACACACACTCACACACTTCTCTTTGTATTTCAATTTGGGTAATTTCTGTCTATGGACCTATTGATTGATTTTTTAGTTGTGTCAGGTCTACTGATGAGCCCGTCAAAGGTTTGTTTCTTTTTAAACTAGAGTGGTACCTCGGTTTTCTAATGTAATCCGTTCCAGAAGACCCTTCGAGTTCTGAAATGTTCAAAAACCAAGGGATCAACAGACCATAGCTAGACCTCAGGACCTTGCACACAGTGGGAAGCCGTGTGGCTTGTTTGACTTCCGAGGTATGTTAGAAAACCGAAGCGTTTATTTCCAGGTTTACAGTGTTTGTAAACCAAAATGTTCGTCAGCGGAGACGTTGGAAAATCGAGGCACCACTGTATATCTTTATTGATTTCAGAGAAGAAGGGAGAGGAGAGAGGTAGAAACATCAGTGATGAGAGAGTCATTGATCAGCTGCCTCCTGCACGCCCCTCACTGGGGATCGAGCCCGCAACCTGGGCATGTGCCCTGACTGGGAATTAAACTGTATCTCCTAGATCCTAGGTCAGTGCTCAACCACTGAGTCACACTGGCGGGGCCAAAGGCATTTTTTATATCTATCATTGTGGATTTTTTAATTTGTTTTTTTAGCATTAGCATTGATTCTAAAATTCCCATTCTAGTCATGCATGTTGTCGTCCTTTTTCTACCAAAGCATTTAACATACTAATCATAGTAATTTAAAATTTTCCACCTCATAGTTCCAACAGCTGGGTCATATTTCATTTGATTCTGCCCATTGCTTTGTTTCCTGATAGTGTATCTCCTCCCCCTCCCCCCCTTTTCTGTGTGTTGTATAATGTTTGTTTGAAAGGTAGACATTATATGTAGGACTCAGATAAAAGCATTTATATCTGAAAATGGGCATGCCTTTTCTTAGGTTAGGTCATTAGTGTGGGGTTTGGATCCATGCAGTAGTGAGTGGACTTGGGTTTTGATTTTCTTATTGCAGTGGTTACCCTCAGTGTACCACAAAGTTCAGCTCCCTCAGAATTTATTTGTGCTTGGGGTGGACGTTATATTGCTGGAGGTTTTCTTCTTAATGTCCTTGCTCCATTCTCAGTCTTTCCCTGTGAGACTGAGCTTCAGAGGATCTCTCTCTCTCCACTCTTGCCTGCCTTCCATCTGTAGTGTTCTGTCTTGTTATTTGGTGTTTACTAGCCGGATGGTGGGTAGTGGGAATGGGGTGATATTCTCTGTTGTTCTGAATTAGCTTCATCTTAAAATGATTCATTGTCTCTGGATCTTGAAGATACGATTTTTTCCTTCCATCCGCAGCCACAGCCATTCCCTACACTCATGGGGTGACAGGGTTTGTCTCTCTTTTTTCCAAATATGTAAAGCCGTGAACATGAAGAAAATTTATGAATCCATAATTTCATAACATCATCCTTTGCTTGTTTCCTGAGGCATTCATACTTGACTAGAATAAGTCATTGGACTCTTAGTATCCTTTTATTGCCATGTTTCATCTGTGTTGAGTAAAACCAACCATTTCATACATAGACCAGATTTCTTTATGTTTATTTTTTGTTAAAAGAAAAACGGCTATGCTAAAGGAAGCCATATTGAACATTGTTGGTCCTGATACTTCTTTCAAGTATATATCTCATGTGAATAGTCCCTTGGGTAGATCCAGGTGTTTAAGTATACATGGGATATGTTGGATAACTTGAGTTAATCTTCAAGATTTTTATCAGGTGCATTGTAGTGGAATCAGTGTTGTCCTCCTCTGGTAATATTTTACTTATTATCACTATTTAATTTGTATAGTTTTTCATTTCCATTTAAAAATTAATTCCTTTCATATGCTAGATAGTGTTTGGAATTCATATGATACAGTGGCTCCTAAAATAGCCCCTCTTCTGCTACACTGTATATTCTATACACTGCAATATTATACTGCTTTTATAATATATATATATCTTTTATTGATTTCAGAGAGAGGAAAGGAGAGGGAGAGAGAAACATCAACGATGAGAGAGTCATTGATCGGCTCCCCCCCGCATATCCCCGCTGGGGATCGAGCCTAGTATACTGCTTTTATTTCTTAACTCATTATATATCATGACTCTTCCACTCCAGTCTGATGGTTAGTTAGTTTCATTGTAACTAAGTAGGATGTAAGAGAGAAGAGGTAGGTACAGATGATTTTCTCTTTCCTTGCTTCCTTCCTTAGCTATTAGGGAATACTGGATGTGATGTTCCAGGAGTCTTCATATTGGAAAATAAAGATTAATAAAATTATTTCCCTAACCTCAGAGTGGTCAGAATCTAGGAGGACAATTAGACATGAGAGAATTACAATCCAATAAGATTAATTACCATGTATCTCAGGTATACTAGGTATACCAGGAGTCCCTTCAGGGTGACTTTATTATGTTCTCTCTTTTTCTTATTATTTGTCTGTGAATTCAAACATATACATAAATATGTAGAATAAAGGCTTCCTGTTATTTCATTAATGAAATGGCAAATTAGCTTTAGTCTTTATAAGACTACATGAGATTGATTCTCCATAAAGAATTTCTAAGAGTTTTGTTTTTGTTCTTTTTTTTTCTTTCTTTTGATTTGTAACTTTTTCAGGCTTTTGAGAGTTTCAGAATTTGTAAACTTTATTTTTTTTTAAATCACATTAAAAGTTAAAAAGTTGTGCTAGAATGTTTATCATAAAAGCAGTTGTTAATCTGCTCCACCCTTTTTCATCAAACTCTTTAGAGGCAGCCATTTTCAACTCTTTAAGCAGTTTGATCTTATATTTATCTCCATATTTATAAATAATATAACCATATATTATTTTATTGATTTGTCATTTGTTTGACACAATGACTGACTTCTTACAATTAAAAATTTACTTCTCTAGAGCATCATCCCTCCTTTCTTTTTTCCCCTACCACCAGTGAGTCCCTCACCTCTGGTACAAAATTTAAGGGGCTCCAAAATTTCAATAATCAGATAAGTAGTATTTTTATTTAATATTTTAAACAATCAAAATTAATGCAAAATAATCCATGATGAACACAACATCAAAATTTAAATTAAAATGGGATCCAACTCTACTTTTTGACCCTAAGAGTCATGCACATAGGGGTTACAGGCACAAAAATGTCTCACTTGCCATTTTTTCTGATGGCCTTTGTTCAGTTATGAAGGAAGTTTGACAAGTTGTTTTCATTGTATCTGCAATCCATAGTACTGCTAAGTAAAAGGGAATTTCAATTTAATTATATATACCTGTCTGTGTGACT